AAAACATGGGAAGATTGATTATTTCTTTGACATAACTTCTTGTAGAGTAACATAAGCATGTATAGGTTTTAACAAACTACTAATTAAATTGCATACACACATTAACAGAATAGGAATACAGCTACATAACAAAAGCAGACCTACAATTACCAGCCATATCCAGTGAAACCAAGAAAATCAGTTAGGTACCCTAGGCATTTGTGAAAACTTATCAATAATATGATGGATATTGTCTAACTCCTTCCCGAGGTGCTGGGTTCTCGCAGGTGTGGCTGTAGTCTGGCTGTTGTCCTGTGTCTTCTGGTCTCTGTTTTAGGAAGAGTTGTCTTTGTTGTATTTTCAAAGATACATGTGGTTTTGGGAGAAGATTTCCTCTGCTCTACTCATGCCGCCATCTTGGCTCTGTCTCTTAATGGCGATATTCTTGATCAGCATCATTTATAATGAATGACAGAATGCATTTCATTGTTGTAGCACAGGAACTACCATTGACAGACATCCCTGATCTGCTGAGAAATTATGACTAGCAGAATGGGAGATGCTAATGTAATTCTACAGAAAAGCAATCACTGCATAATGTTTCCTGTTCCTGTTCTCAATACTGTTATATGGGCCAAATGTCTGTTTTATTCAGGTAATCTATCAGGCATGAGTAGTTGATTTGATCCCATGGGCCATATGCTTGAGCTTTACTGCTATTAGAAATCAATGCTAGGGTCAACTGGTGTACAAACATATTGAAAAGACCACACCAAACTCAACTATAATAAGCAAATATGCAGACTAAATTGCAAGTCATGTGGTTGGAATACAAATTCAATAATATGATCTATGGTTCAGCAGGAGGCAGATTAAATAATAACCAAATATTTATCATGGATATACTACCTATATATCCAGTGAATGTCAAAAAAAGTATAAGACTTTGTATCTGTTCTCAGAAGTATTAGTATAATAGGAAAATTTAGATCAACATAAATAAAAGACTTAAGAACATAAGAACTAACACCGGCAAATGCTGTATTAGTTAAGTAACAACAGTGGGAGCTGCAAGACTTCTTGAAGGAGATAGAGATTTTGCTGGTTCTTGAATAATGGGTATGATAGGATTTTCAAGTGAAGAAGCAGCATTTCATTTCAGACACAGGTACATGGAGGGAGGGAGGGAAGTGAAGACAGAGTCAAAGGTCAGAAACAGTAAAGAGACAACGCTGAATACAAGGGTTCCAGTGGGAAGGAAGGTCAGAAGCTTTCTTGGTACAATGCAATAAATTAAATAAAGCTTGAATTTCCAGATTTACATTTTCTAGGGCCAATTACCTTCATTTACTTAAGAGCATGATGCTTGATCCCCAACTTATTCATCTATAAAGTGAAGATAATGACGACACCTTCCACAATTCTATAATGTTCCTTCCTCATAAGGATATTTGGAAGCTCAAAAGAATACTATATGTGAAAGTGCTTTATAAACTGCAAAGTGCTGTTCATGTGTTTTAAGTCATATAAATCATTGGAAGGGTGAAAGGAATGAAAATTAAAATATGTTCAGCTGGTTTATGAGCTAGCATATCTGGTCAGTAGTTTGATGCAATGTAAGTTGAAGTGTAGAGAATCAAATTAAATTTTTCCAGTACCATCGACTTCCATTAACCATATTTTATTTGGACCAATTCATTATAGCCAAGTAAATGTTGACTATACATGAATATTAACTACCTTTGGAGTAGTTGTGAAGATTTTTTTTTTAATGAAGAAAAAAAATTTAGAAGGAAACCATCCAAAACTTTGTTTCTCACATTATGTGTAACATGCCCATTAGAAATAGAAAGAAGTCCGAGAATAGTTTATTCTACATATGTTAAACAAACAAATGAGCAAACAAAATACACTGACTAGAAGGTGGTCCCTAAGTTCAGTGCATATGATATTGGAGTTTTACAAATGTTGCATAATTTGACTTTAATCAAAGCAAGAATAACCTTTTTTTACTTAATGATGCTTTCAACCTATTGGGGTTAAATGTTCTTGCCCACAGGAAAAAAAAGGCCATAGTTTTTCAGTTTTGTTTATAGTAATTTTTTTGAGTTTTTAAAGATTTTCCCTTCGATATAAACAAATGACAATTGATAGAAATGTTCAACATTTTTCTGTTGAGGTTTTGAACCTTGAGAGAAAAGGTATGTGCATGTGTATAAGTTAATGTACAAAACATCCAGACCTACTAAGATACTTGAAATTCCTCAATTCACTCTGTTTTGTTGTAAGGAAATCTAAAACAAACAAATATTTCCTTTTTTCTTCTTTATCTTAATAAATACACTAATACATGATTCAGCAATATTTTAAAACCCTTCACCTGCTATAAACTGATAATCCAAGTGATTTTCTGTTAACATTTCATAGTAAGTCAAAGCTTTGAATATAGTTAAATGATTAGAAAACTCTGTTGTTATTTGTTCAAGATAGACATAGTGGTAATTTTCTTTGGTGTTCTGTTGTCTGAAATTCACATATCTTATTATCACCAGGCAGGTGTTTTCTTCACTTCAAACTTTGCATGACTAAGCTGTTATCACACTTATTTCAGTGACACTAAATGCAGTTCCCTCAATTAAAGATCTGAGACTCCTAGTGCATTCTTTAGGCAAAAATTTAATCACAGAATGTATTAAAATCCTTATCCACAGTAGGTCTGGATGTATCAGACATTATCAGGCAGAGAGGAAAAAATATTTCAAATTAAATGCATTTTTCAGATATTGCCAAAGACTGATCCATTATATGATTTCCCTTGTGGCAAAAGTAGAGGCCCTGTATATAACTATAAGTAAGAGAAATCATTTCTCAATAAGATCTGTGAAAGTTTATACATACTGGTTAGTCTATTATTAACTCATTAACTATAGGAATATGGTGTTAACTACTTCATTTTTCTTTTCCAACACATTGTCACCATCATTATTAAAGAGATAGCACTTACTTAGTGCTTATCATGAGCTAAGTCTAAAAATCAAATATATATTTTAATCTTGACAATAAGCCTTTTAGGTGGAGGTCATTATTATCCCTATTTTACAGAGGAAACCGAGGCACACAAACTAAGTAACTTGTCCACAGACACATAACTAGAAAGTGGTAGAGCTGTAATTTGAACCCATGCAGTTTGACTGTACAGTCCATGCTTTTAACCATTATTCTCTGATGTCTGGGATGCTTATCATTGTTCATATTTTCTTGTATTAGTATGGTAAATTCCTAATTGGTAACAATGATGTCTTCAAATCAACTATTGTATAGTGTTGAAACAAGTCTACTGGATATGCACAGGTGGACTGAATGATAAAATCACATACTAGAAATCCTTCACTATAAAATATAAATGGACACCTCGCTCAGATATTCTGTATGTTAGATGGTCTGGAAAAAATCACTATAGTCTTTCTAGTTTCAAGAGAGCAAAGAAAATTATATCTAGGATAATTGATCTTTGGCCACTGACAGCCCATTCACTGGCTAACAACCCCATTTATCTCCTTGAATAGTGGCAAAACCCTTCTGTATAAGCAATTTTGTTGTGTAACACATAGAGCCTTAAAATACCAATTAGCATTGGATTTTCTTTATAAGTCTAAATAATCAAAGTAAAACAGTACACAGGATGGTGGAAATGGTAAGGGACAATCCATCTTGGAAGACTCTCATATCACCATCCCCTGGAGGCTTTCCGAAATATTTCTCCCCATGTTCCAAGATTTTGGTTTTCTACTATCACCAACTCCTTGTACATTTGCTCAAGCAAAGAGCCACGCTCCTGATGGTTTTCTATAACATACTTCTCAGATGTAATGAGGTATTTCTTCCCTTACACTTACTGCTTCTCTCCAATGGGA